CATATATCCACATTCACACTTGGCCATTGGCAACTCATTTTCACTTACTTATTGTGGAAAATGCGAGCACTTTATTATAACTGCACTTTGTGTGCTGGCCAGGCCACAGCGTCAACAGCAGTAATAGCAGCAGCAACAACAATGGCCAGGGCACTGGTTGTGGTTTATGGGTGGCACAAGTGAAGCAGAAAATGAACTACAATTTAAGATATTCGAGCACAAGGTAACTGGAGTGCTTAATAATTAATAACCGCTCGAAGTCGAACAGCTCGAAATTGCTGCTCGAGCAATAATTGTAATGATAATGCGAGGCAAGTCAGGCAGGACGATGTCCGTGTCGTTCGGCTTGGCGCACAACACCATGGCATGAATTGAACAATAAAATATTTAAATTTGCAAGCGTGCTCCAGAAATATTTTGCGAGCTCCTCTCTCCCGGCCCTCTATTTTATTATTATTATCATTGTTATTACTGTTTTTACCCAGGACCAACACAAAGAGCGCAGCTGCTGGTTGCGGTTCGTTGCTTGGTTTGTTCGACTCATCCTGTTGTGGCTGCCTTTACTGCCTGCAAAGGAGGTGCGCTGCCAGGATCTCACCTGTTTGGCTTGCCCTCAACAACATGCAATAATGGCAACTGTAAGTGTGGTAGACGAATTGTTGGAGCTGCAGGAGCCAGGCGGGCAAGGACATTGGAAAGTCTGAGGTTGTCTGTTGTGTTGGCCCACTTGTAAGAAATCAATTTGACAGTCTCCTGTGCTGACCTGCACTTTACGAGCAAGCGACAAAGGTTATGAGCAATTCTTTATGTATTGCAGTATATTATATTTAATGGGTAGTTGAAATTCATTATGACAGCCATAAAGCTGTCCAAACAATTCTGACCGGTGGGGATGGCAAACAAAATTGTCAAACAGTTAAATCAACAGTCGCTATCACAATGCCCGGCAGTCTATGATAAAAAACGAATGACCATAGCATGTATTTAATTAGCAAATATGTTGAAAATATTGTACTGAGCAAAAAAATGCAATATTTAAAGCTATTTAAGAGAAAATATTATTAAGAATATTATTATGAAAATATTAAAATAATACTTTAATAGAAGTTTAAACTATTTTCCCACAAGTCTTTCAGGTTTGTATTTAATGTGACTTTAAATGGAATAAAAATATATACTTACTGGGGCTGAAAACGTAAAAGTAACGTAAATAAACAGTTTAATTCTTCATTTAGTTCTATTTACCACTTTCACATTTTTTTATTATTAATCAATAATTTATTTCAGAAATTTTAAATTTGCACAAAAACTCAGCGAATTGTTAAAACCAATTGCAATTGTTTAGATACATTTCTGATATACGTAACTTAATTGCTCAAGTAGGCGATAGAATGTTCAAAAAAGGGCCACTATTTATTATTGACCATTCTGAAATATGCATAATATAATTGCAAACAATTTGATAACATTAAAATAAGAGCTTCGCAAATGTTTTCCAATAAACAATTGCAATTTAAATTCATTCAATGAACTAATACTAATAACAAAGACGAAAGACTTGAATATTTTCCTCTTAGCACAATTACAGTAAAACAGCATCGTGTTGCTTGGACTTTGAATTGCTCAGATATTTAAAATATTCAAATTTTGAAAATAGTTGTTGTGCAGCCTCGAGCATCATCTTGTTGTTTTCAAGCTCTGCACGAAAAATGTTTTCTTTTTGCATATTGTAGTGTGTTTTGAATAGTTGTAGAAAACCCCATGCTGTTACTGTTTTTGTTGCTGCCGGCCACAGGACGAGAAGCAGCCAACCTAAAAGAGGGATGGCACATAACTTTTATGCTCGCAGGCGAGAGTTCCACAAACAAAACATCCCGCAGCAGCAGCAACAACAACAACTTACCAGAGCACAATGGGCTGAAATGAATGCCAGCGGCAACAACAACAACAACAACAACAACAACGACTGCAGGTAGCTTCAACAATAACAAACAAGTAGCACTTACAATTGTAAAATTGCTTTGGTTAACACCTGCAAGTGGTGGTGACCGCCACATTCCCCTCCCCGACCCCTTTTAACCCATCCCTCGCCAACACAACACAACACAACCGACCGTGCAGTGGAAGCAATGCATAAAAATGCTGAAGGGAGCAGCAAAAGAGCTGCAAAATGAAAAGACAAACCATGAAAATTAATTATTTTCTCGCAAAAGTGAAAGAAATGTAAAGGCATTTACTATATACTTGTATGTATGTATGTATGTATGTATGTATGGGAGTGTTTTTGCGTTCAAAAGCGGAAGCGGAAAAGTGAAGTGAAGTGTGGACGACTGACAGATGCAGGCGGAAATTGTGTTGCAGCAGGATTTTATTGTATAAATTCAGAGAACATACGTACGACTATATGTATAGTATAGTAAGTATACTCGTATGTATGCATCTCTCTGTGGAAGTGTTTGTTGTGAAGCTACAGTACTTGGCTTCGGGCTGACGGTCAGGCAGGCAGCTGTTCGCAGCTCCCGTTGTTGTCAAAACTCATGCATTTTCCAGCAGCTAGATCGCAGGGTGCAGGCGGGCAGCAGCAACAACAACACTCAGGATGCCAGGGAACGGCAACAGTTTAACAGTTAATTGCCAGTGACGTGATGGAAATAGCGACACCACTACCACCTCAGCCCTCTCCACCAGCTCCCCACTTCCAGGTCAATGTTCCTAGCACCTTTCGTTCGATACACGCTTTGCTAATTCTGCAATGGATCCAGGCTTCCTTTCACTTTGCTGCCTCCAGTATTGTTTGCATAATTGAACCTTTTTGTGATGGATGCGCCGGGCAGTTGGATTATGTTAAGCAAAGACAGACAGCATGAGCAATTTACTTTGTTACTGTCACTTTTGACGCTCCTCCAGAGAGCCGGAGCCGGAGCGGGACTGGGGATGGGGATGGGGCGGGGGCCGGGACTGGATCCTGCAACAAACTGTCAGCGCGATAAAAGCTGTCACATTGTTTTGATTAAGCTGACATGAAATTGAAAAAGTAAAACAGCATTTTATGAAAAAAATTCTAAAAATTAAATTTTTTTCTTTGAAAATGGGTCAATTGAGGATAACGGGAGTTTTCGTTTTGTTTTCGATGACATGTTTTGATAAACCATTTTTGATTGTAACGGAATTTTTAGTCGAAATAGCAGAATACAAATATATTTCTTTTTTATAGAGAACTGTTCTTTATTTTATTAAATTCCGTTTATTTATAGTCCTTTTGTTGCATTAAAGCAAAATCTATAAACTTAAAGTCGTTCAACTTAGCTAGTTAAATATCGCCCCAGATACAATGAAATGATTCAAAATTTTTCCAAAATATCTATTTCATATAAATCCGTAAAAACCTGTATATATTAATGATGTTATATTTTACGTAAAATACTACAAAGGACTGTTAGTTTCCCTTTAATGAACACAAAACAGTTGGTTTGGAAAAACTGTATTTCTTTAAACATTCGCTGTAATGGCTACTATACCCATCGAATTGATCCATAAAAATGTAAAATGTTTATTCTCCTGCTCACTTTCAATCACTTTTAATTTAAATATAAGGTGTCTGTTAACAACCTTGTTCTCAGTCTCAAGCCTTGATGTAATACAATTACCTAAAGAGCAATTTGCGCCATTGTGTCCTGTTTAAAATGTGACACTATCATTGTTCCCCGCCACTCCTGCGTTAACTGCCACCGATATTGCTTCTGATGGCTCTATAGCTTCTCCCGATGCTGCCTGTCATTGCCATATGCGCGCCAACACGCTGGCGAGTTAATTAAGCCCGGGACGGGCAGTTAGGTGACAGCCATGCCCACATTGTTATTGTGTGTTTATTGTTGTTGTACATGAAGTTGCGCGTGCACTAGTGCCGCCGATATCTGTTGCCTTTGCAATAGCCAATACCGTAATTATCGGAAGGCCAATTTAATTAAGTTTTAAACGCGCAAAATAATCAACTTTATGCCATTGCCAATAAAATTGAATGGGGGGCAGATAGACGGACACCCATGAAGGCTGAAACAAAAACAGACATATAGAGTGATGGACAGACAGACACGCAGACAGACAGGCGGGCGACATCGATTGGCAAAAGTTTCATTAAAGTTTTGCCAGCTTGAAATCACGCGAATGTACCCTTACACGCCAACATAAGTATAAACAACATTTATTTTGTCAACGGATTTTGCCATCACTGAATACTATACTACTTGTATATAGTAAGAACGAATTTATTGTACTCGTATGTATGTATGTGCTGGCAAGTCCTTGGAATATTGAGTAGAGAAAGTTATATCAATAAATAAAACTGCGTTCTTTATGTTGCCGGGTTTTACGGTTATTGTCTACTACTTAGTAATTTGTTTAGTTAATTAAATTGGACATTTCAATACACTTACCTTAGGCCATCATCCACTTCTATGCTTTGCGAACATAACGTCGAGCGCTCATGTTTAATCCAAACACCTCCAGTAACGTCAAACATTTCGTCGAACCGAACAAATTGGGTTAACAAATTCGACTATGGATGTCCTGCCTTACTTAGCAACTGAAAGAATCGTTAAGGCATGAAAAAAGTGTTAATTTTTTTTTATTTCTTGAGGACGCTTTTCCTATTGCATTTCTCAAATCTGAAATGAACATAGATTTGAATAATATAGACTCATACATATATGTTTTATATGCCACAAAAATATATCGGTTTATGAAATGGTTTGCAATTGCTGTTATAGGCCATGTTATATAATGCATTCAAAGAGTATCGATAAACTGCTTTGACAACTAGACAAATGATCGATTATTTAATTCTATTCTCACATAGTTGCCATTTCCACAAATCACGAGAACACACAATTATCTGGCAACGTATAAAACAGAGAAATTTTGACTGCTAAACAAAAATGTGATATATCTTAGTAATTTTAATCGGTTTTCTCCGTATAAACAATCAAATTGAACACAATCAATTGAACACACACCCGCACAGAGCCCTGACTATGAGTATAGCCACCATTCCGCCCATGTTTGCTGTGGGCAGCGGCGATGGTGGCGGCGGCGGTGGAGGTAACAACAATAACCAGAAGCCGCGTCCCAAGAAGCTGCTCAACGATCCGCGCTTCCGAATCCGACCGCTGCAGCAAGTTGCCTCGGCCTGCATGGGTGCCATGATTACGGCCTGCTTTATGACGCCACTCGACGTTATCAAGACGCGGATGCAATCGCAGCAATCGCTGCGGCATAAATGTTTCCTCTATTGCAACGGCCTCATGGATCACCTCTTCTCGTGTGGACCGAACTGTCCCAATACGAAGCCTCCTCCGCAGTACAGCAGCACACTGGACGCTCTTTTCAAAATAAGTCGGACGGAGGGAGTTACGGCGTTGTGGTCGGGTCTGGGACCCACACTTGTGTCGGCTCTGCCCTCGACCATCGTGTATTTTGTTGCCTACGAGCAGTTCAAGGCACGGTTTTATCGCTTATATGTGCAGCACGAGAGAAAGTCGGCAGTGAGATCCTCGCCAGGCCCACAATATATGCCACTATATGTGCCCATGATGGCGGGTGTTACGGCCCGTATTTGCGCCGTCACCTTTGTCAGTCCCATCGAACTGGTGCGCACCAAAATGCAGTCACAACGACTGACATACGCGCAGATCCGAGGCTTTCTGCGCAGCATTATTCAGATGCAGGGCATTCTGGGTCTGTGGCGGGGTCTGCCGCCCACGATTTTGCGAGATGTGCCATTCTCTGGCATCTATTGGCCCATCTATGAGAAGCTGAAGAGTACATTTGGTGATGGCACCCAGCAAGGATCGTTCGGCTTCAATTTCATGGCTGGTGTACTGGCGGGCTCCGTCGCCGCCACAGTGACCACTCCCTTTGACGTCATTAAGACCCACGAGCAGATTGAATTTGGTGAACGCGTTATCTTCACGGACTCGCCTGAGCACGAAGTGACCAAAAAGTCCACATATAATCGCCTGGTGGAGATCTATCGGCTTCATGGACTGCGAGGCCTCTTTGCGGGCCAAGGACCCAGACTCTTTAAAGTGGCGCCCGCCTGTGCCATCATGATCTCGACCTTCGAGTACAGCAAGTCCTTTTTCTTCTACTATAACGTACAGCAACATAATGAAGCGCTACTAATGAGCAATCCAAATGCCAAGCTGGTCAAAGACGATGACATTGAATAGCTGTTGAATGGACGGAGTAATGATTTTTTTTCTTAAATAAACACTGTTCTTGCTACAAAGTGAAAGTCAGCCCGATGTCATTAAAGTTCTTGTGGGCTTAAATTAATTGCCAACAGAAATCAAATGAAATCTGTGTGGCTTAAAGGATACACACTGATATGGCCGTGACTGAGGCGTATCCTCAGCCTGTGCTCGTGCGAATATTGAAGCTTATAGTATGTACAGAAATTAAGTTGATTGCAGTTACATTAAGTTCTGCAATCCTCTGCTCACACTCCCGTTTGCTGTTATGGGATTACGGGATACAAATGTGATTGAGTATGAGACCGAGTGAATGTAACCGAATGAGCCGCAAGGATGCTTTGAATTTTAAGGCGGAATTTTTAACCGCAGTAAAGCAGTTTCAATTATTTGCGGGTTAATTGCTGTTTTCGCATTTGGAAAATATGAGCTAATTAATGGTTCACCGAGAAGATGGATGCACTTATTGAGAAGGCGTTTTTACTCTTAAGTATTCGATTTGGAGAGTTAATTATTGATATTATTTATGCACTACAAATAATGTATTTAGATTGCAATATTAAATTTAAATTTATTTATTATAAATATTAAAATGAATGCTTTATTTTCAATCTGAAATTGCTCAAAAAAAGTCCGATTAAGTACGATATAAAGACAGTTTTCGAATAAATAAACATATTAATTTATTTTTATAATGCTAGCTTAAAATTAAAATCTTAAAATTAACAGAAGAGAAGAGATTATGTTTGCAATGGCTTCTAGGGCCTTCAGCTAACTTCGTATGTACATTTTACAGAATTAAAGAAAAAAATAGGAATACATATGTACGAGGATTGTGCTTAGATTTTGTGGTAAATGCTTGTGGCTTTTAAATATTTTAATATGAGTTTAGAGTTTAGTATTGATGGGCTTGTAATTAAGATGATAGGGTTAATAAATAAACTTATTTCCTATTACTTGTATTACTCAAATGTATGTTAGAAAGTACTTATATTGCAAAACATTTTTATTAATTTATTTTAATATGAATCTGCAATCTGTCCTCAAGGCAATCTCAGCATACCAGTTCATTATTATAAGTTGCAATTGAATGCACTCATTAGTTCTTTTATATTTTTTGAATTCAATATAAGTTTCCCAACACAACCATTCATAACATAAATGACCGATCATCAGTCAGTCATTAAGATACTTTTCGGGCATGCCAGTCTATGAATAATGGAAATGAATGCACTCATGGTGCCATGATATTCTGTCCTTCCTCAAACGAACGCTCACATATGACAAAGTTGTGTGCAATTTAAAATGCCAAAAAAGAGGTTGAAAAACACTGCCGCAGCAGCTAAAGTCATTGATCCTTATTGGGCGCATATTGGACTTGCAATGGCATAGCCTTAAATCAATGCCAGACCAAAGAGCAGGCCTTAAAGCCCCAATTCAATATCAAACAGTTCAGCCCACACAATGTCAATATTTTATGCTGAAGTAAAAGAAACCGAAATCGTAGGAAACATAAATAAATCCTGGCATGTTCGAGTGCCGATGTTTGCGTGCGAGCGTGCGTGTGTGTAACTTTTTTTTTAATGCTACAATTAAATGCAAATAAAACGCAACAAGCAAAATGAAACTGTCTACCCAACTGACAAAAAAACACACACAAGCATAAAAAAACACAAACACACACACACAAAGAACGTCGAGCCAATGTTGAGAGAAAAGTGACAGGACATACAACAGCAGCAGCAACAGCAACAACAACTACAACAGAAACAAAAACAAAGGCACGCTCACATGCTGTTGAGCTCAACTCCCTGTCAACAACTTTTCTTCCATTTTTTTCTGTTTGTTTGTATGTCAGTACAAATATTTTTGAAGTTCGAAAACAAGCAGCACAATGAACACAATGTATTGACTATACAAGCCCTATCCTCTGCCGTCCTGCTGCGCTCATGCATCAGCAGGAGCAGTAACAACAAGAATTGAAAAAAAAAAAAATCATCTGGATACTGACACACGCACGCGGAGATATCCCTTTATCCCCGCATGCCGTTAACGTTAATATAATTTCAATTATTTAAGTGAAGGCATATTTTAATGCGCTTTATTGGCAATTTTTTACCAGCAACAAAAACCAGAGTGTACAAAACAACCAATGCCAAAAATATTTTGGGCATTAAACATTTCTTGCTAGCGACTTTGAGGGCTGAAAGTGGCAGGCCGTGTTTACTTGTTTTTGCTGCTTTGGCAATTTGTGGTTTATATATTGTAGTACAGGCAGGCGGGCAGGCGGGCAGGCAGGCTATTTGTGCTTTTCCATTTTCGACAGGGCACGTTCTGTATATTTTGGCTTTCTTTGCAGTTTGTTGTTTTCCATTTTTTAATTCATATTTTTTCTGCGCAATTTATGGTCAATTTTCCAAACTGCAATATTGTGTTCTTTGTCAGATGTTGCATTATTTTCTGGACTATTTTTCAATCCTCAAACTCAGGCCACAATTTTAATTGCATTTTTAATAGGCCTGCTAGACTGCTGGATGCTGGACTACCCATTTAAAATTAATTATGTTTAGATTCGTTATTCGGCTTCACAGCGCAAACATACTATATTTATGTGCATTCAACCACAAACATGCGGCGCCAAACTTCCATTTGCCTTTTCCGCTCTCATTGCTTGAAATGTTCAGTCAGTGAATAAATTGCATTGAAAAATCCTGCCTCTAACTATATTTAACAGTATATTCAGCATTATCTGAAACAATGCGTTTTAATTTAGAGACATGACAGCATTTGTGTAGCATCAATAGTACAATAATGTTGAAAAAATGTATGAATTTCTACTTTTTGTTTAACATTTCAGTTCCTTCTTTTTTTTTGGAGTACATTGTTAAGTCATTAAGATCTCTTAAGCTAAAGCACAGTATTGTTTGATGTGTGCAAGCCAAGGTCTTTGCATTCACATTATTACAGATTTTCTCAACTTTAGTTCATTAAATGCTGATTTCATGAATTCGTAATGGAAATATATTACCGCTCATTAATAATTTATCAATTTTATTATGTTAATTACTTTATGGGATTAGTCTATTTATATTGCAGCGTCTAAGCGATCGATTGGTTAAATAGCGATCTATGGCGATTTACACAAATATTCGAATATTATAGTCCTATTCAAGAAAACTACAAACCTTTATGAGAAATATACAAATATTTAATATCCCATTTGGAAAAAATCATAATTGTCACCAGCAATTATCACTAAGAAAATTTAACTTATTTGAAAATAAATGAAGCATAGACTTAAGTTTTGATATTAGCTACTTAGTTATTTATCTATTAACAAATGAATTAAGAATACGAATTATGTAAATGAAGCATTTACAAATCAAATGCCAAATTGAAGGATAACATTAGTAAAATATTACACACTCCATTGATCTTGTACGTTTTCAACATAATTTTCATAAATTTTGAGAAACAAAAGGCTGCCTTACCCACAAATAAAACCAAATACTTAATTCATTTCATAAGCAATAAGGCATTTATATAAGGAAGAGATAAAGTCCAATGTTATTTGTAAATGCTTTCAATTTGTTGAATAGATGTGAATTAATACATTTGAATGTATTCATGCATTAATAACTCATATGAACTCCATTGAATTCATTCGTAACACAAGCAATTAATTCTTGTATGGCTTTGCCAAAACTTTATTCGTTTAGAATTCAGTGATCCGACTGTCCCGATTTGCTGCTCAATATGCCACGTGCTGCTGCTTTATTTATTGAAGAACAATTTCCTTAATTGTTGAGTTTTATGCGCTTGCCAAATAGGCGGCAAACTTTATTAAAAGCACAATCCAAATGCCTGAAGCCAGTTTAGATTATCCACAATATATTCTGAAGTTTCGCATTTCACAATACGCACACTTCGTCCATATATACTTGTACAGTTCGTTCCTTAAACATCCGCCAACGTTGCTAGCAGCCGAGCCAAACAATTTCCGCTTGACCTTGTTGGGAGTGTTTAATTAATTTCCAGAAAATTCACGCAAGAAGTCGAGGCGCTGGCAAAAAAAGAGAGCCTGAAAGCAACAACGTTTATTTAAAAATACGGCGCATTTTTTACACAATTTCTACGCAGGCGATTTTTCTTGGGGATTTTCAGGATCTAGAGCGAGTTGTCGTCCATCACTTTGACAGGCGCTGGCGCTAGCGCTGGCGCCAACATTGAAGGCATCGCCTAGGTCTTCAAAGGTGTGTGCGCAATTTTTTAATTAGCGCAGCTTTCCAATCTTTTCTTTTTTTCTCGCTAAGATGGCGACGGCAAGTCTGTTATCCTTTCGCAGACTGCTGACATGCCTTGCACCTGATTGCGTGTATATTTATGTATATATGCGAGTATACCTGTGTGTGTGTGAGAGAGAAGACCTAAAAAGCGTTTTAATTAAAAAACACAAAATTGACAGGCGAAAAGAAAAAATGGCGTGTTTGTTTGTTTGCTCAAGTTACCCGAAAAAAACAAAGGGTAATATGCAACAAGGATACGCGCACTTGAATCCTTCTTAGCCCCCACTCTCTGGCCTTCGGTTTCGGGTTCACATTGAAATGCAGTTGATGGTCGTCGTCAATGTCGTTGGTCGCGCTTTTTGATTTCTAATTTGGTGCGCACTTTTGCTCGACTTTCTCCTTACCGCGTTCTCTTAATTATTCAGCATGGTCAATTTTAACATGGTCATAAATTTTTGCCAGCGTTTACATTTTGCCTTTCATTTTTTCCCATTTCGTAATTTTTTTTTTTTTTTGGTGTGCCGCAAATTACGCGCAACATTTCCTAACATTTTTTTTAAAATGCTCGCCATTTTTTTGAGTGCTGCGCCATTTTATTAAATTTAATTGCGGTTAATTTGCGCGCATTTAAAATGCAGACCTCCTTCCAAAAAAAGGAAGAAAAATAGGGAAATTGAAGTTCAGACTCAGGCGCATAAGTTTGCTCATTTTTCTGGCATTTCAATGGCGCCAGCAAAGCAATTTTCTTGCAATTTTTC